CATTGATGTTTCTCTCTCTCTCTCCCTCTCCCTTCCTCTCTGAAATTAATAAAAATATATTTTAAAGGGGGGGGGGTGGTTTAAGTGAAAGCTACAATGACATTCTCCCAGAACCAAACTGAAATTACAACTAAAATATAGAAAAACCACCCTGAATAACCAACTAAAGAATAGCTGGAGAGAACTCTCAAAACCAAGGATGGAAAGTGGAGACTGCACAGAGACTGATAAAAAATGCAATGGTGCCAAAGAGCTGGCCAGGCTCCCACAAACTGTGGTACACTTACACCATGGAATACTATGCAGCTGTAAAAAAGAAGGATCTCTTATCCTTTGAGACAGCATGGAGGAACCTGGAGAGTACTATGCTAAGTGAAATAAGTTAGTCAGAGAAAGACAAATATCACATGATCTCACTCATATGTGGACTCTAATGAACAAAATAGATCCAGAGACACAGACACATGGAAGAGACTGACGAATCTCAGAAGGAAGGTGGGTGGATAGAGATTAACCAAAGAACTTATATGGATACTAGAGGCCCAGTGTATGAAATTCGTGCACTTGGGGAGGGTCCCTCAGCCCAGCCTGCGCCCTCTCGCAGTCCGGGAGCCCTTGGGGGATGTCTGACTGTCAACTTAGGCTGTGAGCCCAGCTTCTGGCTAAGTGGCGCTCGCCCTGTGGGAGCGCACTGACCACCAGGGGACAGCTCATGCATTGAGCGTCTGCTCCCTGGTAGTCAGTGTGCATCATAGCAACCAGTTGTTCTGCTGTTTGGTTGATTTACATATTAGCCTTTTATTATCTAGGATATTATATAGGATATGCATTACCCATGGACATAGACAATAGTGTGGTGAAGACCTTGGGGGTGGGGCAGGTCCAGGGTAGAGGAGGTGAATGGGATTTAAAAAAAGGGACATATGTAATAGTTTCCACAATAAAAATCTGTATATATAAAAGCTAATATGCAAAGTGTCCCCTCAGGAGTTTGACCAGGAGACTGGGAGTTTGATCGCTCTCTATGATGTGCGCTGACCACCAGGGGGCAGCACAAAATGAAGAGAGGCCCCGGCCAGCAGCCGGAAGGCCCCGATCGGCCCTGATCGCTGGCCAGGCCTAGGGACACTACCCATGCACAGATTTCATGCACCGGGCCTCTAGTCCTATCTAATAAAGAGGGAATATGCTAATTAACCCTCACACCAATCACAAAGATGGTGCCCACAGCCAATAAGGAGGGAATATGTTAATTGACTTCCCCGCCCTCAAAGATGGTGGCACCCACAGCCAACAAGGAGGGAATATGCTGACTGCCACGCCCGCAAAGATGGTGGTGCCCACAGCCACAGATGGCAGCACCCAGTCCCCTCAGCCCCACCAGGGTGGCAGGCGTATGTCAAGGCCAACCCAGGTGGGCCTGGCCGCTCTGCGTGCCTGCCTCTGGAGTCCCCTAGTCCCCTCAGCCCCCAGCCTCCCAGGGCCAGCCTGAGGCACAGGCAAGCCTCAGATGGCAGCTGCCCAGCCACCCAGGGCCGGCCCAAGGTGCAGGCAAGCCTTGGATGGTGGCTGCCCAGCCGCTCAGGGCTGCCAGAGGCTCAGGTAACCAGGGCCGGCCAAGGCTTGCGCTGCTGGCAGCAGCAACAGTAGAGGTGTGATGGGGCATCGCCTTCCCCTGATCACCTCCTGCCCCTGAGGGCTCCTGGACTGTGAGAAGGGGCAGGCTAGGCTGAGGGACACCCCCCCTCCAGTGCATGAATTTTCATACACCAGGCCTCTAGTAAATTTATAAAAAGACAGTGAGCTGTGGACCCTGTGACCCTACCCACCCCTCTATATCTTCCCCATGGTCTCCCTCTGCAGGAGGCTAGAGGCATGTGCCTCGGTGCCTGGCCCACAGTGGGTGCTCTGCAAGGGTGGTTCCCTTCTCCCTCCATCACACTTTTCTGTAGCAAATCCTTATTTGGTCCTCACACCCACATTCATAGGCCCCCCTCCACAGAAATATACCCTACTATAAAAACCAAGGGTCCGAAACATTCACTTCTCATGTGAAAACCTTAGGGCCACCCTGGATTTTAAAAAATGTGGTGTTATAAAAATAAATGCCCAGTAGTACAGTAATGTGGTGGTTTTAAAATAAATGCACACATAATTGGGTGTTCTCCCTTCAACAGGTGGGGCTCAATTCCCATACTCCTGAGTGTGGGCTGGTCTCAGTGACTTGCTTTTAATGCACAGAATGTGGCGGAACTGATGGTGTGAAACTTCTGAGGCTGATGCATAGATGTGATACATAATGCTCTGTCTCTCAGATCTCTTACTCTGGGAGAGGCCAACTGCCTTGTCATTTGGACACTAAAGTGGCTTTATGGAGAGGTCCCCATCATAAGGAACTGAGGCCTCCAGCCAACAGCCATGTGATTGAGCCAGCCTGGAAGAGCCCCAGCCAAGCTTTCAGATGACTGCAGCCCTGCCTGCCATCCTGAGCACACCCTCAGGAGAGACCCTGAACTAGAAGCGCCCAGCTAAGCCACCCTCAATTTCTGACCCAAAGAACCAGTGAGGTAATAAACATTTGTTTGAAGCTGCTAAAGATTTGGCATAATTTGTTACTTTCCTTCTGAGAGTTTGGAATCTGGTATGTGCCTGGCAGGGGGTGCCTACATGACCAGCTCCCAATAAAACTAACAGTGACAACAAACAAAAGTAGTGTAGTATGTATAATTTCTAAATAAATATACCTAACTGGGAGTTCCTGCTCAACATGTGTTTTGCTGATGGTGTCAGTATGACAAGAAAAATATTTTAAAGGCGCCCTAGCTAGTTTGGCTCAGTGGATAGAGTGTCAGTCTGCAGACTGAAGGGTCCTGGATTCGACCCTGGTCAAGGGCACATGCCTGAGTTGAGGGCTCCATCCCCAGTAGGGGGCGTGCAAGAGGCAGCCGACCAATGATTCTCATCACTGATGTTTCTATCTCTCTTTCTCCCTTCCTCTCTGAAATCAATAAAAATATAAAAATTTAAAAAAATGTTTAAAGGCCACTGTTATTAATGACGGCTGGCCTAGAACCTCAGTTCCGGTTGCCTGTAGAGGCAAGACTGGCCCAGTTTCAGACACCCTTAAAGAAGCAGAGAGAGGACACTCAGAACATTCTTTCTGACTCCTAGCCTCTGGAGGGCAGGCTGGAAGGAGGATGAGGTCTTTAGGAATTTGCTCCAAAGCACTAAGATTTAGGAGGGTCCAAAAAGTTAAATGCTTTTCAAAGGTTGGGTGAAATTTTAGGCCAAATCTGACCCTTGAGCAGTCCCTGGACATTGACAGATAAGCCCAAGTCAAGCGCAGGGAGGAATGGCACTGTCAGTTCAACGGGTCCCGAGGGTGAGCGTGTGAGTGTAGACATACCCAGGAGACCTCCGGTCCTATAAGGGTTCCTTTCCCAGCATTGACTCGGCTAGATGTGGATGAGGACTTCTTCTTTGCGATGGTTCGAGTTGGTGAAGACTTGTAGGAACATTGAGCAGGGCTGCCGGTAGCTATAGGAGGGCAGATGTAAAAGACTAGAGTGTTACAGCAGAACAGCCAGAGAGACCACAGCATAGATGGAAAGGTGAGCAAGGAGTTGGGAATAACACACTTATGTTAAAACGTGACACACAGGCAATGCCATCTAAAAATCCCACCACGCTTTTTCTCATGTGCACAGAAGGGATTGTATCATTGCGGTCGGATCATGAGAATTCTCACTTCATATTACACAGTGTTGTACAAAGTATCATACTTTAAAAAGATATTAGCTTGTAAGAACATATAATAAATAACTTCAAAATGCAATGGTGTTTAATTTTAAAGCGTGCCTTTAACATTTATGTAAAATGTTTGTTGTACTCATTCAATAGAAACTTATCTGGCCACTGGCTAAAGCTAGAAATGAAACTACTGGTCCGCAATGTGTTAAAAGACTCCCACAGTCAGAGTTCAAGAGTCCAGTTCAGCCCTAGCTGGTTTAGCTCATTGGGTCCCAGGTTCAATTCCGGTCAAGAGCACATGCCCAGGTTGTGGGCTCGATCCCCTATAGGGAGCGTGCAGGAGGCAGCTGATCAATGATTCTCTCTCATCATTGATGTTTCTCTCTCTCTCTCTCCTCTCCCTTCTTCTCTGAAATCAATAAAAATATATTTTAAAAAAAGAGCCTGTGTAATTTTGTTAACCAGTGTCGCCCCAATGAATTCAATAAAAAGGGGGAAAAAAGAATCCAGTTAATTTCAGGAGTTCAAAATCTGGGCTTTGCAGCCAGACAGACTGAACAGTCACCTAATAGCTGGATCATGTTGGGCAGTTTGCTTAACCTCTCTAAACATCAACTTCCTTGTGTAGAAAGAGTTAACATAGTAGGCCCGACTACTGTCTTTGCACATAACTGCTTACAGAGTTGGCCCTTGGTCAGCATCTGTGAACTCAGATTCCAGGAGCGTTCTCAGCACTAAGCAAAGCATAGCTCCCTGTACCTAAGCTATTTGTACAAACACCATGACTTCTGCTTTCCTTCTAAGAGTCTGGAATCTGGGCATGTGTCTGCCAGGGGGTACCTACGTGACCAGCTCCCAATAAAAACCCAAGGCACTGAGTTTCTAATGTGCTTTCCTGGTAGGCAACATTTCACACGTCACAACTCATTGCTGGGAGAACGTGACCTGTGTCACTATCCTGGAAGAGGATGCTGGAAGCTCGTACCTAGTCTTCCCCAGAGTAAGTCATAACAATGAGTCCTCCTAGACCAGTGATGGCGAACCTATGACACGCGAACTCATTTTTTTGGTTGATTTTTCTTTGTTAAATGGCATTTAAATATATAAAATAAATATCAAAAATATAAATCTTTGTTTTACTATGGTTGCAAAGACCAAAAAATTTCTATATGTGACACGGCACCAGAGTTAAATTAGGGTTTTTCAAAATGCTGACACGCTGAGCTCAAAAGGTTCGCCATCACTGTCCTAGACCAAGGGTGGGGAACTTTTTTTCTGTCGAGGGCCATTTGGATATTTATAACATCATTCATGGGCTATGGATTATCAACTTAAAAATTAGCCTGCTATATTTGGTCAAACATTTCATTAACTCACCCCTAATGCCTTGGCAGGGCCAGAACCAATGATTTCACGGGCTGACGTTCCCCACCCCTGTCCTAGAGAGTCACTAACGCTGGGAGTAGTCTTGGGGACCTTGTGACACATCTCTCTTCCCAAAGTTGAAATACTTCCTGCTTCCCAGGAATTTTTTATTCGTTTGAGACATAATTCATATATCATGAAAATTCACCTTTTTAATATTTTATGTTTCTAGTATATTCACAAGGTTGTGTAACCATAACTACAGTCTAATTCCAGAACATTTTCAGCACCCCCAAAGGAACCCTTGTACCCATAAAGCATTCACTCCCCTCCTCACTCCCCCATTCCCTATCAACTACTAATTTACTATTTCTTTGGATTTGCCTATTCTACACATTTCACATAAATGGAAACATACAATTGTGGCATTTTGTGTCTGGCTTCTTTGACTGAACATGTTTTCAAGGTTCATCATGTAGCATAAATCAGGAATTCATTCCTTTTTATAGGTGAATAATATTCCACTTTATGGAGATATCACAATTTTATTTATCGATTCATCTGGTGATGAACGTTTGGGTTGTTTATACTTTGTGGTTATAATGAAAAATGCTGCTAAGAACACTTGTGTACAAATTTTGATATGAACATATGTTTTCAATTTCCTTGGCTCCATACCTAAGAGTGGAATTGTTGGGCCATATGGTAACTCTGTGTTTAACTGTTTGAGGAACTTGGCCACACAGTTTTCATTCCCACCAGCAATGCATAAAGCTTACAATTTCTCCACATCCTCACCAACACTTCTTTTCCTTTTTTGCTTTGAATTTTAACCATCCTAGTAAAATGTGAAGTAGTATCTCATTGTGATTTTTATTAGCATTTCCCTAATGACTATGTTGAGCATCTGTCGTGCTTATTGGCCATTCATATATCATCTTTGCAGAAATAGCACTGCTCAGAAACAGCTAGAACTAGGTAGAGAGTTATATGTCATTTATATGTCATCTCACTGATTACACTATCTTGGGAACTAAGACCAGACCTACTCTAACGTAGACAGCGTGGTTCATGGGCAAACAGAAGATGCCAGTCCTGATTAATCTTGCCATGATGATTTGACCCACTTTGGTCAAAGAAGGGCTTTGATGGTATGGCCCAGTGTTTCTCAGACTATAGTATGTAGGTCTGGTGGGTCCTGGAGTTTGTTTTCCTAACAAGCTCCCAGGTGATACCGATGCTGCAGGTCCATGGACCAGGGCTTGAGTAGTGAGGCTCTAGACATGTGTTAAACTCTTTTACTGTGCCAATCTCATTTAATCCTTGTGGCAATTTAAAATAACTCCATTTTATAGATGAGGAAACTAAGGCTTAGAGAGGTTAATTAACTTATCCAAAGTGGTAGAGTTGTTTATAAACCCCAAAGACTGGTTTAAAGGCTACTCTGCCAAACCATCTGTTTACTTTTTTTAAAAAATATATTTTATTGATTTTTTACAGAGAGGAAGGGAGAGGGATAGAGAGTTAGAAACATCGATGAGAGAGAAACATCTATCAGCTGCCTCCTGCACACCCCCTACTGGGGATATGCCCGAAACCAAGGTACATGCCCTTGACCGGAATCGAACCTGGGACCCTTGAGTCCGCAGGCCGACGCTCTATCCACTGAGCGAAACTGGTCAGGGCCAAACCATCTCTTTAAATTAAAAAGTCTAACCTCAAAAAAAGTAAGTCTAGCCCGGCTGGCGTGGCTCAACGGTTGAGCATTGACTTAAGAAGTAGGAGGTCACGGTTCGATTCCCAGTCAGGCCACATGCCCGGGTTGTGGGCTTGATCCCCAATAGGGGGTGTGCAGGAGGCAGTGGATTAATGTTTCTCTCTGATCATTGATGTTTCTATCTCTCTCACCCTCTCCCTTCCTCTCTGAAATCAATAAAGATATATTTTAGAAAAAAGTCTAACTCCCATTAACTCATGAAATAGTGTTTTTTCCTAATCCACATGCCTTCAATGACAAAATCATTTACTTACCTTTGTGACACTTAAAAAAAAGAAACATAGCAGCAGCAAAACACTAGTGGGCAGACATTTCCCAAAGCCAGTAAAAGCGAAGCAAAATATAAAAAATCAGGAATAAACTTATAGGCTAACCAACACCATTTCTGGCATTTTCCTTAGTGTCACCAGCTTGGCCTCTTTTACCTGAGCCACTGAACTGCTTAGTGAATGGGATTGCACTTCTGCTTCTGGATAAAGAAGCCTGTGTGGGCGCCGACAGACGCCTAACGCCTAAGTTTTCCGGGAAAATAACTGGCATGCCAGGAGCTGAGGAATGGAATCAAATAAAAAAATGTAAAAAGCAACATTCAAACAAAACAAAACAAAATGTTTAAAACAGCACAGTGCATATGCAAATTAACTTTTGGGTGGTAGGACTAAGTGGAAAATAAAAATATTCTGGCACAGGATGGCTTCAGAGTTCGTCATAGTAAAATAAAACAAACGATGTATCATTTAGAGTATGAAAGAGCGCATTAATTCTCTTGGGATGCCAAAATTCATTCAAAATGCCATTGCAGTATTACCTGCATCACTCTAAGAGAGTTAGCCCATCTCTATAGTATGGACTCAAGAAACCATTTACTCACCAAGTAGATCTAACATTGAAAAAAAGATTACTTCTACAAAACACTTGTTTTAGGTCCTCTGTAAAGAAATATTTCATAAGACACTGATTTTGTTCATGTGTAAATATGCATCTTTTCATACTTTTTCCATATAAATAAGGGCAAGATTAAATAAGCACGAAAATAAAAATAGCCAACTGATTATCAGCTTTAATGGAAGTAATAATATTCACAATCCAAAATTCAGGGACTTAAATATCATTCTGATGGTTTTGGAACGTATTATAAGGTAATGGATTAACTTTTTCATTACAGTCAAACCTCTTTTGTCAGATGTCTCCCATCTCAAACAATTTGGTTTTTCACCAAGTTGTTCACAGAAAAAATGTCTTGGTTGTCAAACCAAACTTCTGTTTTTTGATCTGACAACCCTTTCATGCTGATACTTCAGCATGACAAAAAGCTTCTCTCAGGCAACAAACAAAAGAGAAAATGCTTTTGTTGCTAGGGAAGCCAACATTAGCATAATTTTAAAACATAAAGAGGCCATCAAGAATGCTAACATTGCTAAGGGTATGAAAGAAGCAATGAGCACAGGCAATGGAAGAGGTAGAAAAACTGTTGCTGATTTGGATAAATGAAAAGCAGTTAGCCAGTGACAGCATTTTGGAAGCAGTGATATGTGAACAAGCAAAGATGCTGCATGCTGACCTGAGAGACATCCCTGGACCAAATGCTAAAAGTGACTCATTTAAGGCCAGTAGGGGGTGGTTCAACAAATTTAAGAAAAAAAGGTGTTTATTAGTAGATTAAACAGCACGTTAGACATGTACTATATATAAGAAAGGTTAAAACTGAATCATTTGGGGGTCTGGAACAGATTAGTTGTATTTACATTATTCTTAACGGGAAAGAATGATTCCGTTTTTTAACAAATCGCTTCTTGAACAGCCTTCCGAAACGAATTAAGTTCGAGAACCGAGATTCCACTGTACTTTGTATTCTTTGGGTACCCAGTAGCCAGTAAATGGTTGGGGAATTAAAATGTTCAATTAATAATTAGCAAGTAGATAATTTAGCTGCCAATCTTTATATACTAATCAATGCAAATATGAATTTAACATCAATTGGTAGCCACGTGAATTCATGAAAGCATATGAAATACAGAAATAGAATAGCATTATGGATTTAAAAGCATGTAGATGTTTTCTCATCCAGCTCTTAATCCCAGGTTTCCAGTGCTTACCCATGAACTACATTAGAGACCAGCCACACTGACATTTATGGGTCTCTGACACACAGGACAGGCCACTGTGCTCGAGGTGCAAGGTCAATGCCATCAAAAAATAACTAGGAAGATGCACTGGCTTCTTCAAAGTCACAAACATCCTTCTGCTGGCCCTTTGGTGATGACTTGACGTGTTAAGTACTCCACTGGTACCTGACACTTCTTTAGTGACGCTGTATAATACACATTCGATGCATGGACAGCTTCCCACCTTCTGTAACCTGCATGCTCTGAAAGGTCTCAGTTCAGACTTTTACCGACTTCTCTGAGCCTCCATTGGAACTTGGGTAGCTTTAAATCTCCTTCAGTTTCTGACATTGGCACGTATCCTATACATATCATCTCCTACCTCAAAGCAGAGTGCTGAAAAGGGCCGCCCATCATTTTCCCCTTTAAAGGCTCCATATTAATTCTGAACTGTTTGAGCAGGCCCCCAAAGCACAGGCAGTAACACATCTGAGTCTCCCACGTACCTCTGACTCATCAATTCTGCCATTTCTGGCTAATCACCTACATCACACCAATAGCTGGATAGTTACTTTTTTAACAGTCATATCTGCCCACTGGCCAATTAATTTTGGGGGAGGATAACCCCTGCATGCACTGTGGAAGATGGAACAGTCTCTTTAAGGCAGGGAGGACAGCAGTAATTCTGTCTCTATACAACCACAACCTGGCTGCAAAGGGTGTTGCCACTTTCCAGACTCTCATTGTGGCCCTCATATTCAGGCCACAAGACTAGGATAATGGCAGTGTTTGCAGAAGGCATAAGAGGGGCTCTCACTCCCCTGGCTGGCATGGCTCAGTGGTTGAGTGTTGACCCATGAACCAGGAGGTCAAGGTTTGATTCCTGGTCAGGGCACATGCACGGATTGCGGACTCAATCCCCAGTGTGAGGTGTGCAGGAGGCAGCAGATCAATGATTCTCTCTCATTATTGATGTTTCTCTCTCTCTCTATCTCTATCTCTATCTCTATCTCTATCTCCATCCCTCCTTCCCTCCCTCCCTCCCTCCCTCCCTCCCTTCTCACTTCCTTCTTCTCTGAAGTAAATAAAAAATATTTTTAAAAAATTTTTAGAACAAAAGAGGGGCTCTCACGAAGACTGACATTAAGACACACACACTAGAAAGAACAAAACTGGATATCAAATCTCCACGTTCACTTGCCTCGCTCTGGAGAATAAGATATTGCTGCGGTGGATGATGACAGCCGCTTATTCATAGGAGGCTCCATCTGCTTTGGTAAATTCATACTTGATGTGGAAAGTTTCTCATATGCTACAGAGAAACACAGTAAAGACATTAGTACATACACCACTGTAGACTGAGAAACATACCCCCCAGCATTCTTCCCGTCCTAATCCATATGCCTTCAAAGCCACTGTGACACAGCACACTGCTTCTAACATCCTCCTATCTACCAATGTAGCCCAGCTGCAGATGCCCTGGCCACAGCAGCCTTTGGTCTGAAGCAAGATCTTCTCTTCTACTTCTCGACTCTGTTCTTCTCTTTGATTTCATCCAACCTCACTCAACTGTCCAACTAAAGCTATGCTAATCCCACCAGCAAATCACTTATTTCCTTGTGTCCAGGAGCTTTTAGTCAGTATATTCAGACCACACGAAAACACCACCAATCTGGATCCAGAGATAAATCAGCACCAGAAAATGTTCTATGGCCTGACTGAGTGCATGAGCAGGAACTGGACTTTTTCTGAAGGCTGTCTACAGCTCAGGTTGGACAGAGAAGTCATTTGTAAGGCAAGGAGCTCTATTTAAAGCAGAATAAGCTTCAGTAGTTGATTTCTTCCTCTTATCAAGAGATGGGGTCACAATGGCCTTTTCTCAAATGTTATGATAGCTTATGGTTAGAATGTTAACATATGGTCCCAGGTTTGGTGTTCTTAATTTTAGAGTAGTTTCTAAATGAACTCATTACAGTAAATGAAGCAGTACGGATGGTGCCCTGCCAAGCCATATCGGAACCCAAGGCAACAGGGAAGATGTATTTCCTGGCTTGAAAGGAAGCAAACTCACCAATAAGATTTTCAAAATCTACTCATCTCCTCATGTTTTCAAATGAGAGAAATTCCATGTTTGATATTTCTTCTGACTAAGAGATGATCTTAAAACATTTTAAAGCCCTCGCCGGTTTGGCTCAGTGGATAGAGCATCAGCCTGAGCACTGAAGGGTCACAGGTTTAATTCAGGTCAAGGGCACGTACCTCAGTTATAGGCTCGATCCCCAACCCTGGTCGGGGTGCATGCAGAAAGTAACCAATCAATGTTTTTCTCTGTCTCTCCCCCTCCCTTCCACTCTCTTTAAAAATCAATGGAAAAATGTCTTCTGGTGAGGATTAACAAACGAAAAAGAAAAAAAAAATTTCATTGACTTAAGCTGAAGTCAAATTACAATAAATTCTTGTTTTGGTATAAATAAAATATTAAAACTTAAAATTCTGGGAGTTTTTAATTTTTCAGTATTTTGGCAACTACTTTAATGTTCTGAAAAATAATTAACTATTGGAAATTACATGAAGTCATGTACATAGATAGGGGTACACATTTCCTCCTTTGCCTCAGGCTCCAACATGGTTCTGCATGACAATGGTCTTTAGGAATTTGATATTTTGTTCATCATGAATTGTTCTGCATTAAAATTGATTAAAATATTATTTGATCTTGATATTGTGTGCCCGAGTTGAGTACACTTGCCTCACCCTGGCCGGGACCCTGGGTGCGATTCCCGAGGGGTAGTTATCAAGTCCACCTGCCCCTCTTTATCAAGGGAAGGCCAGGGCCCACACTACAGTTCCCTCAGCCAATGCAGCAAAACCTCTGCTACTCAGTAACACTAAGAAAGATTATTCTTCAGAAAAGGGATGTTGGAAAGCAAGGATATTTACACCTACTGCTATAAACTGACCTTGTGCATGGCTAGTAAATAGCGCGTCCCTTTTACCTTGTTTTTTTTTTTTTTTTTTGCCAGCCAAAGATGGGTTGAATTTCTAAAGTCATTATTAAATGGGAGCAAAGTTTTGCTAATTCTGTTCTTGATCTAGACCCTAGGAAGTTCCAAGCCTATATCGAAAGCAGACAGCCTATCAGAGAGGTGAAGTCAAGAACCGAGCCCATTGATCGCCTTACTTGGATCCCCAGTGTTAGTGCTGAGGAACACCCTGCCACTCCCTCTCAACACCTCTCCAGAAATCCATCACATTAACAACACCGGGAACTCAGTGATTAAGCAGAAGTGACTGAAACACAATACTACTTAATGCCCAAAGCGATGATTAATGAGAGTGTGAAAGATCTGAATGCACAAATGTCAAACACTGACAAGATTTTCAAAGCAGGAGTTAGTGAGCTAAGGATGATGACATGTCTCCAGGGCAGGAGGATGTAAGGCATGTACAGCTCTGCGATGACAGAAACAAAGAAATATGAGCATGTCATTCACATCGCTAGAAAAAATGTTCTAAGGGGTAAGACTAAGAAATCAATTGTAAACGTGCTTCAGACACACATGGTGATGGAGGATGATGATCAGTACAGTCATCACAAAATGCCATGGCATGGTGATGCTCGGATATACCATTGGTGGACTCGGAGGCAGCAGGGGTCTCTGGATCCGGAGGAGGGGTGCTGGCCGCTAAACCTAGAGGAGGGGGTGGAGTATTTTCTGATTCACCTACACAGCAAAAAATCAGAGCAAAGAGAGATAAAGGAAAAGTCCCACTTTCTGGTTGACTTAGTTCCTACTTAGGAAACTAGAAAAGGTAACTGAAAAGGGCTGACTTCTCATAAACAGAAAAACAAAGTATATTCACTGATAAGAGGTTAAATACACAATTCAGCAAAGACAAGAAACTGTAATATAAATGGAAACCCATCTGCTTTCAGGAAGAGCTATTCCACACATCCTATCCTGTGAATAGGATGACAAGAAATAAGACACTGAAGGGGGAAAGCCACCCAGACTAGTAACAATCCATACAGTAAATTAAAGATCTGAACCTTTAAAATGAGTATGAACTGGATAATGAAATAAATAAGTCATCTTGAAACAAAATAGAAAGAGCAATAAGAATTAATAATGAGGAGAGGAAACCCCTCTCCCGCTTTTTAGAGGGTAACTGCTGCTCAGTCTTTGTGGGTTGCGCTGCAGCAGTGCCTTAGCCTACTGCCACTGACGTTCCCAGAAATCAGATTGTCTCAATGCTTGCCGGGTGGATCCAGTTAAGCAGGCTCTGCATTCACGTTCTTTGCTTTTCTTTTGCTTTACCTCATAGCCCAGTTATTGTACCAACTGCTGCCTGCTAGCAAAAAAATGCAGATCCCCTTCATGAGAAACACATGCATAGGAAGCTTGGCAGTTTGAAACATCACATCTGGAAAAGGTATCTGCAGATTGGTACCAAGCATCCCCCAGCCCCTGCAGGCTGTGCCCACAATCTCCCACCTGCCCTGGGCCCTGCAAAGCAGGGACAGCCTTTAACTCACCCTCACGTCCTCCAACCCCGACGATGACTGCCGGGGACGCTCCTCCCCAGGCTGCTGTCGAGGCTCCTCCCCAGGCTGCTGGCGAGGCTCCTCCCCAGGCTGCTGGCGAGGCTCCTCCCCAGACTGCTGGAGTTGCTGAAGCTCCTCCCCATGAGCACCTCTTCTTCAGCTCCAGCTGCCTTGAGCGCTCCAGGGACCGGCGCAGCATAGCCTCCAGCCGCTCCTGCCCAGGTTGCGTAAGGGAGAGCAAAATTAACACCAGCCTCAATGCTGGGATGAGTCACCAAATGGGGCTCTGTGCTCAGCATCCAAAACCCAGACACAAGTGCTCTGTGCCACACAGTGCCTGCTCGGTGGGTGGAGAGTAAACAATGCGGCTGGTGTGATCCCAGACCCAAAACCTCAACCCTGGGACAGGCTGTGCAGCCAGGCCTTGATTTGTTTTTGTTTTTTAAAAATATATTTTATTGATTTTTTTACAGAGAGGAAGGGAGAGGGATAGGGAGTAAGAAACATCAATGAGAGAGAAACATCGACCAGCTGCCTCCTGCACACCTCCCACTGGGGATGTGCCTGCAACCAAGGTACATGCCCTTGACCGGAATCAAACCTGGGACCCTTCAGTCCGCAGGCGGATGCTCCATCCACTGAGTCAAACCGGCTAGGGCTTGATTTGTTTAAGAATAATGCTAGACACACATTAACTCCTTGAGGCCTGTCTCAAGCCTGGTTTATCCTACCTACTACGCTCTAGACCCAACCAAATGCTCTCTAGTTGAAATGCATAAAGCAGTCTGATTTGAGACATTTCAATTAAAATATAATTTGAATGTTATAGCCTTAAGCCTAACTTTTTTAGGGTGCTACATGACTGTGAGGTTTATTTTGCAAAGCCCTGTTTTCATCTTAGAATTTCTTAAAGGGGGATCAACTGTTTTCTAAATTATAACACTTTTCTGCTCTATAGTTTTCTGGGGATAATGCTACATATTTCAAAATTTAAGAGAGACAAGTGTAGGGGAGCTTCTAGCCACAAAATAAAGCATCTGTGCCTTCTCAGAGTTGGATGGGAGAAAGGGAGAGATAATTCAACAGTTTTTAGCCAGAAGAGAAAAGCACCCAGGCTTCTAACAGAGCATTTATCAAAAGTACTCTCCTCTATTAACCCAACTGTCACTTTCATAAGGTTGGGCCTGACTGCTGGCAAGTATTTCCTTGGCACTGGAGTTCCAATTCTATATTCCTCACTGCCCCAGTGATGCTGCAAATACCAACCCTTCTCCCTGCCTCTACATGGAGAAGGCCGAAGCAAGGTAAACAGTTATGCTGACACCCTTTGGCCCTCATAAAACCCACCTTGGGGTGCTCCAGGAACTGGGTTAATCTTAGCCTGACTCCAAACAAAAAGATCCTCTTTTCTCCTGGCTTAAGTAAGCAAGCCAAATTAATTTAGGGCAGCACCAACTGAGTAACCGTGACTTAAGGATTGGGAAAGGCTCCCTTATTTTACTCACTAGAAACACAGAAAAGTCACTTAAGAGGTGCCTGGACCCATCCTTGGTCTACACCAGAGGGATAAGGTGAGCATTTGCCACATCTTGGCCTCCTCTGCAGAATTTCTCTCTGAACAACACTTTGCTAAGAGACAGCCTCTCCAGGGACCTGAGAGCTGAAAGGCGATTTTTTTCCTCCTGTAAATCTCAGATTTGAATTTGCTCTACTTTTTGGCTGAGACTCCACAATCATGAGTGTGCATTTTCTGGCAGAGTCCTGTCCTCATGACCTGGGGGTGGTCCATGAAATTGTGACAGCCAACCCCCAGGGTCTATCTGAGAAAAGCTGGGGGCATTGAGGGATTTAACATCTTGATTATTTGATGCTTGAGGTATGATTGCTCAAGACTGGGGCTGAATAGTATTTCATTGCATGGATTTAACATATTTAATCAATGACCTAACTTAAGTGCTGAAACCTTGTACCACAGAGTAAATTTAGTATTTAGTGGGTAATGGGAGATTTCCTACATGCCAGGACCTCACAAGGTAGCCTCTCATCTAATAGGCCAATGAGAAGAAAGAACACTAACACTTCAGGCCCACCTTACCACCAAGCAGCTATCTAGGGGCATAATTAGAAGGGAATGATCACCCAAAGCCAATCCTACTCTTCGACTGTTCAGTTACCTTTAGAAAAAATACCTCTCCATCTACCCTCAATCCACCGAGGGGTTCCAAATTCCACCATTAGAGATTCATTCCTTTGAACTATTTGTAGGCTTATGAAAATGAAGCTATCCCTGAAAGATGACACAATCACTTTGTGTCACCCAGTTTTGGAGAGATGATGAAAAATAGGTAGTAACCAAGCTCTATGGTAAGGGGATTTATAGAAGCCAAAGTTGTCAGAATGGGATGACTCAAACATCAAAAACAAAAAAAACAAACAAACTGGTTCACTTCACTTTTCTTAAAGGTTAGTTTACATAGGTCAGTATTACTCAGTATGTATCTTTCTGTTCCATCATGTGATGGAATGGAAAGAATCCTAGATTTGGAGTCAGGAGATATGGATTCCAATTCCACCTCTGCCTGCTACTTTTTAGCCCTGTCACCTTGAGTTAATTGTTTTAACATCCTTGGACATCAGTTTCCTCATCTATAAAATGGGGATATTATCTATATCGACAGACCACTCAAGTCTACAAGATAATAACTAGCATAGGAAATCCTCAGCCAATGCTAACTGAATCTGAATTTAAAGAGGAGATTATCGACAGGGCAGTTTGAGCAGTGGTTCTCCAACCAGAGTGGAATCTGCTGAGGATTTGCATTTCTGACAAGTCAGTCCCAGGCAATGTCAGTGCTGCTGGTCCTGGGGCTACACTTCCAGAAGCACTGGTCAGACAGGCTGAGCATGAGAGAGCATTTAAGAAAGTTCCATCACAACAGAAGAACAGTATTAATAAATATTAGAGCTGCATACCGCATACCTCGACTCCTGCCAAGCTCTGGTTCTCCTGATGGTCGATAGAGGATGGGGAAAGGACAAGGCAGATTCTTGTCCCTAGAATGTCCTCTATTGGGTGGGGCTTAGTAGAAGGAAAGAGTAAAGAGACCTCATCCTTGACCCCTTGAGCTCTGGCTCTAGATCTGCCTGGATGAACTCAAAGGTGAATCATGACAAAGGTGACCTGCTGAGCTGGCCTAGCAGTATAAAAGGACTCAAGCAGGGCCCGGCCTGGGCACTGATACCCAGACAGCCAGCTGTGGCAGGAGAGGAGGGCTGGCAGTGCCTTTTCCAGTGCTCTTACTACTTGTGATCTGGAGATGACAGGTAGACAAGCTCCCAAATGGTCTCCAGCAGAGCTCCATAGAGGGTTTTTCTCTCTACAGATGTCTACCTCTAACCAGAAAGGCCATTCAGTCACCATGGGTCCACAGCAGCCAATGGGCAGCCCTTGGCTTAGTGAAGTTATGTTTAGGTTGAGTTCAGAAATGTGTCTTTCTTTTCTTTTTTTAAATACTCACCCGAGGCTATTTTTCCATTGATTTTTAGAGAGAGGGAAAGACAGAGAGAAATATCAATGTGAAAGAAGCACATTGATTGGTTGCCTCCTGCACGTGCCCCAACCAGGGCCCAAGCTGGGGAGGAGCCTGCCTTTGACCGGAATTGAACCTGGGACCGTTCAGTCCGCAGTCTGATGCTCTATCCACTCAGCCAAACTGGCTAGGCAAAAATGTGTTTTTCTTACACTCAGCCTGGTGGGTCTTGTTAGGTATTAATCAATATCACGATGATAAGTTGTGATGTGTCAAAATACAAAGATGAAGCTACTCTTTGAGAGAGGCCTTTCTTAGCATGAGGAACATGGACTTGGCTTTTCCAGGCTCCATTTTCCAGGGCCTCTGATCAGGAAGCCATCCCTCCCAGTGGAGAATGGGTGACCACAGTGTGTTGTCAGCCCTACCCCAGGGAGGTGACAAGGGCTTGCTCCAGAAGCTCGATCCTTGGAGCATGAGAGGGTTGGAGAAACCTGCCTTGAGGAAAAGGCAGCCTCCAGTGGACACTGGATGGCCCGTTCCCCAGGACAGGCCTGGCCAGCCTCCAGTCCTCCTGACCTTCAAGACTCCTGGGAGCCAGGCTGTCTGTGGTGCCCACTTCTCTACTGGCAGACAGAGGCCCCCTGGCTGAGTCTGGGGCTCACCCATACAGATGTGAAAACTCACCAAGAGCCCTAGCTAGTGTTGCTCAGTGGATAGAGCGTCAGCCTGTGGACTGAAGCGTCCCAGGTTCGATTTTGGCCAAGGGCACATGCCCAGGTTGCGGGCTTGATCCCCAGCAGGGGGCATGCAGGAGGCAGCCGATCAATGATTCTCTCTCATCATTGATGTTTCTATCTCTCTCTCTCTCTTCCTTCTTCTCTGAAATCAATAAATACATTTTTTTTTAAAAAAAAGAAAAGTCACCAAGAGCAACATCATGGCAACCAGTCATGGCGCCAGGAAAAGGCTGGGCGGAGAGGGGGGAGTCATGGGATTTTTAAAAATATATATTTTATTGATTTTTTACAGAGAGGAAGGGAGAGGGATAGAAGTTAGAAACATTGATGAGAGAGAAACATCGATCAGCTGCCTCCCGCAACCAAGGTACATGCCCTTGGCCGGCGACCCGGGGCTTCGGCCCGCAGGCCGACGCTCTATCCACTGAGCCAAACCACTTAGGGCGAGTCATGGGATTTTTATGAGCTCCTAATATCAGACCCACAGAGGCAGGACTTGGTGGGCAACCCAAACACTTTCCAATAAGCTAGAGAAGCCAAATGGGCTGCAGTGGAATGAAGCCCTGCAGAGGCTTCTCCCTGGTTGACAGAGGCAGAGCCGGACAAAAAGAACCGAAATCTGCCCCTGGCAAGAAAAAGGAAAATCTCCACAGCTGTGTGCCAAGAGGCACCGGCCCTCCCAAAGATCTCCAGGGACCCATGGGGCCGTGTGTAGAGGGTTTCCTTAGGAGAGGGGCTCCCGACATCTAGACTTACCCATTCTCCCCAAAGATCACCCAGGTGAATCCCAATCAGGCCTCTGCACGGGCAGAGCCAAAGCCAACGTGGCTAGCAGGCCAGCCTGCATGTGGATAGTCCCTAGGCTCCACCGGGCTTGCCCGGGGCCCCAAGGGCTGGAGCAGGTGGCAGAGGGAGGCTGCCGCTTCCCCTGCCTCTGCCTCGTTAGGTTGCTACACAACCACAGGAAGCCCAGCTCTCGGCCTCGCCCTGCGGTGTCTGGGGAGAAGGAAGCAAGCTTGGCTTGTGTTTATGCTGACAAGGGTCAGGCAGCATCCCCTGTTCTCTGCCATCACCATGTTAGGGATAAAAGGGAGCACACAAAGCAAATAAAAAATTAGCCGGCTGCACAACCACTAAAGATTCAGCTGCATCAGGACCAACCATCTGGCATGACATTCCCTCATCTGCAAGAGCGAGGAGTCTGAGAGCTTGATTTCAAATGCCTCTGGCGCCACTGTTCAATGAGGAAAATTACAGACAGGGAGCCTCAAAGGCGGACCCCTGTGACACCGCCAGGTGTGTCAGAGGCTCGGGAACTGTCTCCCGTGACTGCACAGTGCCCCTTCGTGGAAGCAAGAGTGACACACTTGCTCTGGAGTCAGCACGCCTGCCAGATGCCAGGAATCAAAGCGGCGAGAGCAGGGAGGAGGGGACAAGCTGTGAGTCAAGCAATGGAGGATGGGAAGAAAATGGGAGAGTCCAGTGACTCATGACCAATACACACAGGCTGGGAAAGGAGAGATCTGCCCCAGGTTACTGAAGTGGCCCAGTACACAGGGGCTTTTTCCTTAGTCTATAGACTTTGCACCATAATCTTTTCTGGGTAGCTCCCAGGTAGGCTGAAGTCGCTGAAGGGAATCAAACATTTCTGAGCATTACTCTGTGCTAGGTGCTTTGCTGGGCACTTGCACAAATGTCACTTCCTTTAATTCCCATGACCACCTCTGTTTTGTGCTAAGAAGACTGAGTTAGAGGGCTATGAGAGGCCAGGGCTGGGGTTTACATCAGGAGCAGATGAAGCCACACAGTGGTCAGGCTGCAGCCAGCAGCAGGGAACCATGGCTAAGGCCTTGGCTTAGACCTTCATTTGATAAGAGGAACAAAGAAATTGCCAGGTAAACAAGTGTTTTGTGGGCAAAGATGAATGTAATTGTGTGTGTGCGCATATGTTGGTGTTTTTTAAATTAAAAAAAGAGGAAGGGGTAAAGATATATCATGATAAACCATTCAGACATTTAAAAAATACTGAATTTGCCTGGCCAGCGTGGCTCAGTAGTTGAGCATCGACTTATGAACCACAATTCGATCCCCGGTCAGGGCACATGCCCAGGTTGCGGGCTCAATCCCCAGTGTAGGGCATGCAGGAGGCAGCAGATCAATGATTCTCTCTCATCACTGATGTTTCTATCTCTCTCTCCCTCTCCA